CGAGTTGAATAGCATTGCATTTTAGTTCCTTTGCTATTCCTAAACATATTTGCAAAGACATTTTCAGATTCAAACTTGCAACCTCTCAAAGTAGCAGAAGTAAATGTGTCATTCTTGCTGTTTATAATAATGCAACAATTAACTCAGCTTTAAATGAGCCCATAGTAACTTAGCACAGTTTTGTGAGGAAAACCAGCTGGTAATTAGTTTTCAGCAGATTAAAGTGATGGCTTTTGCAAAAGTATCTAAATTGAGATTGATAATAGAAGGACAGCAGAGCAAGTGTGGAATTTTAATATATTCTTGTAATGTTTCAGAATTTTGGGGTTGTAAAAAACATACATGGAGTTTGCAATGTTACAAGCTCAAAGAAACTTTTCAGTGATTCTAAAATTCTTCTGCCTGAAAGGTGGGCCATGCATTCGTGCAGCTTTGCAACAACTTTTTGTCAGACCCTTAGTGTAATTGCTCTGTAATTCATAGATGGATTTTTATCCAAACTACAAGTTATTGCAGATACCACAGACTAAGTTCATAAGAACATGACTCACAGCAATATCTACCGTAATTGGGGGGGAGGGGGGAGACAGATATAGAGGGAGCAAATGACTAAGGCAGCCTTGCAGTGAAATGATCACTGAAATGAAATGATTTTTGTACCTGTATCATGTGCTCACATGCACGTGTGAAATAATCTGGAACTTATGATGACCCTACTGAGGAAAGTGATACATCTTGTGGGCATCTCTGGTGTTACTAAGCACCGGAATGTGAATCCAGTGCAATCCAGAGATTAGAGTCTGCTCAGCTGAAGACTGAAACAAGAGCATGGCTATGAATAATATAGTTGGCCTAAATGCCATTATTTCTCTACAGGATTGATTCCTTTCATGCCATCTGCCAATTTTAGTCTTCATGGTCTCAAATAAATTTGGAGAAACTCTCATTGTGAGACCTCTTTGTAGAGTTTCTTCATCTTTTGTAATAAGAAAACAATCAGAAAAAAAGCTTATAGGCATTGGATATCAAAGCGAAACTATTCTTATCTCAGAGAACAATAGAGAACAAATAGTACATGATTTTGCCAATCAGCAAACATTATCCTTTAGAGCCAGATTTAACATCTTATCTTCAGTAGGTAAACAATATGAAAAATATGTAGCTTGAACTTGTCCATGTGATTCCTTGCTGTTAAATTCATCCATTCGTGCGACATAGTTTCTGCTTTAATGACTGTTTAAGAAGGCTAATTTATTATCCTTTTTATTACATGTTCCAAGTTGGTTTAACACATTTCACATTAACTTCCTTTTATCAGAAAAAAAAACCCTTGTGACACAGAATGTTGCAACATTTTGCATAGCAGCTTCAATATATTCTGACAAAATGAATCCAGATTCTATTGAGTAATATGCTCATTTTGGCCCCTTTAAGCAAATTTTATGTTGGCATTTAAATATCATTTTATCTTTGTGGGAGTCAGGATGGAGTGATAGGTTGTTTCTCTTTGTTACTGATCTTTGATCAAACTAAATAAAGTTGATGTACATCCTCCCTTTTTGTCTTTATTGTTGGGGTTATGGACAGACACTGGCTGGCTTTTTTACCTGTTCCCACATTCAAATGTTACAGTGGATCAAGCTTGGCAGTATAAAAGTATTTCCCCTCAGCCATCTTTTAGTAGAGAGCTTGTCACTTTGTTTATTGCCCCAAGATATAATAAGATTAAACTATAGAAAGTCTGTGTATCTACAGATACTGTCTGTTTTTTATTTGGCGCCTTCTCTCCAGAGGTTCCTGAAAACTTTGAAAATCTGACTTTGTTCTTAGGACTGGGACTGATGTATATTATTCACACAGTGCCCCTGTTTTGTTTCGTTGTTTTTGCTCTCCATTAGATTATTATAGTCTGAGCTGTCAGTGTGATTCAATGTTTTTAGCTTTTTTTAATTTTTTACCTAGTTCCAGTGCTTTTTTTTTGTAAAAAAAAAAAAAAGGTGCTGGAACTCACACATGTCATACAACCCGCCTTGCCTACCCTACAAGGTTCCATCCCAAAAAGGTGCCGAACTACATTCTGGGCATTGTATGACAAAAAAAGCCCTGCCTAGTTCCATAGGCTGCCCAGAATCCACTGGGGTTAGGTGGCCAATAAGTTTAAATAAACAAATAAAATGTTGTTGCATGAATTATTCAGCATTTATTTATACATGAAAATTATCTTTGCTTGAACTATAGAACAGGTAGTCTTTTTTCCCCAAAGCTAGCCCAATTGATCAGTTTTTCCAAATTTGTCTTAGAAGAGAAAATGGCTAATTCTTTATGACTAATTTCATCACCTCTTTCCCAAAGCAGGGTAGTAGCAAATTCTTAATAGCTCAAAGGTTCATTTTTGTCAAATCATTGTTTTTGTCAGTCAGTTGTAGTCTCAGTAATTTAATGCTGAACTAAGCTATGCTTCTTTAACTGGCGACTGACTATGTCAGTAGTTATCATATTAAAATATTATAGAAAAATAGTATCAGTATATCCTTAGAATATCCTTAAGGTCTCAACTGTTTTTAATTTGATATAGTAATTAAATGTCAATAGATAATGTTATATGTAAGTAAAGCCATGATAAATAAAATCCATTTTATAAAGCTATTATTTCTTATTTATTTATAATAACATCGTGGTCATACATTAAAAGGAAAAATAGACCTGAAAGAGCCTTTTAAAGTCAAGTCTCAAAACATCCTATCTTCTTAGCAAGGCCTCTGTTTTCTAGGAACAGTCAGAAGATCTTCCAAGTATGTCCAGTTTCTTCTATTAGGATGTCTTGCAATCCAAAAATAGCATTTGGTCATCAGCTCAGTAGAATTGATGTTAACATATAGCTCTGAAGGAGTGTCCATGTACCTCTTTTGAATTTGCAAATATAGCAAATTCAAATTTGGATTCAAGATAGCAATAGCACTTAGACTTATATACTGCTTCACAGTGCTTTAGAACCCTCTATAAGCGATTTACAGAGTCAGAATATTGCCCCTAAACAATGTGGGTCCTCATTTTACCAACCTCAGAAGGATGGAAAGCTGAGATGGAAATAGTTTCCCTTCCAATTTATTCTCACGTTTACCCTATGAACATAAATTGGAAAAATCAATATAAAATTCTGATTAATTAATTGTTGAGTTCATAGCTACCATTAACCCATGATTTTGAGGAATTGATGTTCATGGAAGAAAAAACACACGTTTAGTATTTCTAATTTTCTTAATTTTTATTTTTGAAGAACAGTTTATATATAATGCTGGGTCAGGATCTTTCATGTCACAGTTGCTGAACAAGGCACAATGACTTGGTTCATAGAGCACTCTGTACTGAACATTATATCTGAATGAAGGCTAGCTTCCTGCTAAGGTCATTGTAAGTATATATAAGTACATCATATTTATATAAGTACAAATTGTTCTAAGTAGAATTTTGTAGTTTACAGCTCCCTAAAGACATAATCAATAAACGTGATAAAATATGACTGCCAAGAAAAGCCATACAGTTAAAAAATTAAATCCAAGACAAAAAGTTTTTCATTTCTATCACAGCCAGTATAATGTTACCCAGCCAGTTCCTGCACTTCGAGTATTTGTGCTTATTAGTTCTATTTCTTTGGATAGACAAAAAGTTGATCTGAGTAAAATATCTTCCTTTTGTTCAGATTTTCGTGAGAGAAAGCTTTTTAGCAACAAGGAAATATATTTTTATTCATCATTTGTATACCACCCATCTCACCTCAGTGACTCTGGGCTGCTCACAATAAAAAAAAAAAAAAGCATATAATACAAAAGCATAAATAAGAACAATGTTAAAAAGATTTAAAAGGTGGGGTTAGAATAGTAAAAGTTTAAAAGTTAACAAGGTAAAGAGAACAGTCTCATGAGACCAACTATCCCAGGGTTGCATATCACATTTTTGACTCCCATGCCATTTGGCAGACAGAGGTCTTAACATTTTTTCTGAAGGCCAGAAGAGTGGGGAGGGGGGGGCTCACTTCTGGAGGTTGAGGCTCTCTTCCTGGATCCTACCAGTCGAAATTCTTTTAAAAAATGGGATCTGCAACTTACCCTTTCTGTCTGGCAAGGTGAGACTTGGACAATATAATTGACATTAAAAGTTGGATGAGCTGTTTAACATTGAAAGAAATGAATGCTGAATCAACTAAAAGTCATTGCAACGTGATCAAAATTAGTTTGATCTCACTCTGTCTTTGCATCTGAGTGAGTGTCTATGAAAGGAGATGAGTGAAAAGTTTTGTCATAATTTTGCTTGGAGAATTCATGTTGGTTTTTTTTTAATTCCTAAAATTTGACACCCACTGTTTTTCCTAGTCTAGTTCATTCTTCTTCATTATGGTCTTCAGGGTGAAGCTTCTTATGATTGCCTACCAGCCTGGCCATATTGCATTGGAATTCTGGGATTTAATGTCTAGTCGCACTTCAAAGAGACATCACCTGAACCAGTTGATAGAAAGCTACCCGTATAATTTTACTTGACCTTTTTTCTGAGTACAGAATGGCTGGGGAGAATTGGATAGAAATGCTGCAGTTTGCAAAGTGCAGAAATCTGTGCTGATATTCTTCAAGGTAGTGGTAGTGGGTGAATGAATTTCAGAGAGGCTATTTCTTGCCGGTGGGGAGAAAGTGTGGGTGTTTTGGACTTTGAAAGTGTTGCATTTTGACTTCAGTAGTAGTTATAATAAAGTGCTGATCCCAAACATTCCTCTGATCTGGAGTTTTCCTTTAAATATGCTCCTGTTGCAACTCTTTGTGTAGGTCAGGAGGTGTGGCACTCCACATATATAATTATCTGCCAGAATTTATTCCATTCATAGGAGCAGGACAACTGTGCTACAGCCATGGTCCATCTAGAGAAATTTTGTGCAATTGAGGCTACAAAAACCCAGGGGGGAAATGTTGAGTTAGTAAATACTACGGTGACTAATACTGCTTTTCCCACAGTCACAATGTCCACCAAGAGGTTGTGTAATGAAGACTACAATGATTACAGTTCAACAGATGTGACTCCCGATGGCAGTTTCCCAGATGGCTTGAACAATATTTCCAGCCCATCATCCTATCAACGATTTGGAGAAACAAATGGAACAACGTAAGTGGTTTTATTCTTCATTAGAATCAGTCTGCATCTAAATGCATTGGCTAATTAATTTAACCTGAAGGGAAAAGCATGCAGGCATCATGCCAGGGCCCATTCAGATTACAGATAAAAAGCTAAAGCGGTGGTCATTCACAGATAAACTTACTAAATTTACTGGGGATACAGCATGCAGACTTGTACCCTGATTACGAATTATTTCATTATGAATTATGTAACATTTCAGATTTTTAAAGTCAATTTTCTTCTGGCCTCTTGACTGCTTCAGATGACTATGACTTGCCGGCTCCCCCATTTTAAAGATTTGTCCATTATGAGTATTTTCCTGCCAAATATTCTGAACATGGAAATCTGCTCTTTGATCAAGATGACACACAGAAATCCCCATAAAGTAATGGCCCATGTTCTCAGCCTGAGGTGTGTTTTTTTAAGTCCCTGATTTGGCATCTCTAATCTATATCAGTTAAGTGCAAGAAAACCTAAGATTTTGTAATCTAAAACAACTTTGCTTCTGGGACAAATTGTGACATTTTTAAACCTTTACATTGATTTAATTTGTATCTGTAACCTTATTAGTGTGATATTATTTGAAAGCTTGTCTTGACATCTTTTCATGTTATCAATTGAATTACTAGATCTGCTGAAGCTACAGAGCTACCTTACCCAAAATGTAACAATTGATACAGCAGCTGCTTACTTTCTGTAAAATTGGTGTCTGGCTGCTGTCATGTATGTTGTAATTAATACAACATACTTATATAGGGCACTCCTACATCTCCAAAGACAGTGTAATCTTTCAGCTTCAGTTTTTGTTTTGTTTTGCCCTAATCCAAGGATGAAAAATTTCAGAACCACCAGATATTGCTGAACTTCAACACCTGAGATCCTCTACTTTAGCTGTGCTTCCTGGGCTTCTAGAATTGTAGTTCTGCAATGTTTGGAACAGTAGAGGTTCTACATCCCTGAGGTTGAAGAAAAAACCATAGGTTCTTTGAAGTACTTAATTTCTCTGTGTTGTTTTTTTTCCCCCCTTCAGATGGTACCAAACTTTAATACATCTCTTGAAAGGAAATGTTGGTACTGGCCTGTTAGGACTTCCGTTAGCAATCAAAAATTCTGGTATTGTGGTAAGAATTTTGCATTTGGTTGGTTTCAGTTGCTGGGGTCACATGGCTATTCTATTCTATGAGAAAAAAGACCTGTCTTGCAAATTTCATTACATTATTTCTTACTTGTTTAAGCAAGAAATTTGTGTTCCTGCCTGAGCAGGGGGTTGGACTCGATGACCTCCAAGGTCCCTTCCAACTTTATTATTATTATTATTATTATTATTATTATTATTATTATTATTATTATTATTAAATCTTGTTCTGGAAAAAAAACCGATCTCTTCTGATCCTTCTCTGAGCTATCATTGCTAAACTAACTGTCACTATTGCAAAGTCTTGCAATATAATTTTTAGTAATTGACAGTTCACAAGCTTAATTTTTGGTAGCCCTGGATTCAGAGAAGAATAATCAAGATGCTAAAGGTGGAGTAAAGTATTACTTCCTTCAATAACTGGTATTTTTTCTATTACTGCATCAACTAGATTTATGGAAATGCTGCGGGATTTGCCACATAGCTATTTTGAAAAGCCCTTGTTGTAACCAGGAAGGAAGAGAGGCAGTAAGATAATTAATATTCCTCAAAAGAAAGTTTATTATGATAAGTGGCCCCTTACCGCTTATAAAATAATTACAGCATCCAGGATACATGCTACAACAGAGAAAACATATCCTACATTTGCTTACATTGAAAAAAGAGGACTTCAGACACATATCTCTGTTCCATGTTCTAGCAATTTGAAAGGAGCCATGGCAAACATCTAAGCTAGAATATTTTTAGTGTCCGCCTCATCTTGTTCTATTGATAACCATCTAACATTTGGGAAGTGCATGTTTGTACATCAGATAATATTCACTCAACTCAGCCTGAGTAATATATTTACTTTCTGTTCTGTGAAATAATTACGTAGGTTATTAAGTATGTAGGTTGTAATAATGAAAAAATATCCTCAAGTATGTGGACATCCTGCACCCTAACATTATATACATGCTCCATAAATTAAATATGACTCTGATTTGAGCATTAAAGCTCTCCCAGCAATTCAAAGTTCTTCAGAAATCTGCCCTCAAGAGCTTTTAAACTATAATTAAACTAAGTTATATCAAAATAGTTCTAATGTCATGTATGTGGTATACAAAAGAACTGAATTAGCTACAGACACAATACTAATTATATTATTTTGACATCCTCAGCACAAGTGAATGTAGGTAACTGAAGAGAGCCAAGGAGATGGTTTTGAAGAAGCAAAGTAGAGACAGTGATTGCAAAAGTATGCTTTAAGGCCAAGAAAAAGAGAAAACACGAGAAAGAAGCCAGACCTGATGTGGAAGAGGACTTATTAGTTCTCTATTAGTCCTCCTCTTGATCCTTAGACTAATAATGTATAAAAGGAGACAGTGGAAACCTCAGTCAGCTTTCAAGATTTTGTTATTGTGGCCTATATCAATAAAGTTAAGTTCCAGCCAGACTTGTAGAGTCTGTTTCCTGACTTATTCCACCTCAAAGGGCTAACATTAATCTTACCTTCCTCATGCTTTCTCTGTTTCTAAACATGTTTTTATAATAATAATATTATTAATAAATAATATTAATACATCAGGATGGCAATAATGCAAGCAAATCTATTATGAAAAGGAGATGACACACTGACTATTCAAAAAAGTGAATGGCTTGTGTCAGGATGGAAATAAAGATTCAAAGTGAATAACAGGATCAAGAGGAAGTAGCTAAGAGAGAGGGAAAGCCACATAATTAACTAATATAGAGAGGTCTGCTTGAAAGAGGAAGAATCAAAACCAGTGAAACACCTCCTCAGTAAACTTCTGGAGGAGTGAGTGGATTATCAACATGATAAATAATAGAAAAATGGTAGAACAATAGTTTAAGAACCAGAAATTAAATAAAAATAGAAGCATATTGCAGTATAACACAAACTTCTGGCATCTGAAAGACTGTGTCTATTTATATAAATGTTTGGGGGCTCCACTATTCTTGAACAGATGCATAAAGAGTTATAGTGAATTATGGACATTTGTAGTTTTATGTATTTGATAGAGTAAATTATAGTTCATTTAAATTGATGCTGTAACCAACCTCTCTTTAAGGAGCTACAAGTTTCTTCATTGTCCATTGGATTTTGGTGCTTCTGTCATATTTATTAAAGATAGGTTTCAGGAAAAAATAAACTGAAAAAAGAATTTCAAAAAAACTAACAGAGTATTAATAAGATTAACATAGTGAGCACGAATAGAAACTATGCCGAAGAAACAGTAGAAGATGTTTCATATTTATCTAATTTACACTTTCTAGACTGACACACATTTGTTTTTTGATAGTTTATATTAAGCATTTCCCACAAAAGTATGCATTAATAAAAACTTAACACAAGAATGCTTTATGTTGAAAAAAATGGTTGTAAAGACATTTATATTAGTAAAAGTGTATAAAAATTGTAATAAAAGAAATAATATATTTTCATATATACATTTTGTGTAACTTCTTTTTAAAGGTTAGAAATTGGAGAGAGGAAATTAAAAACTGAGAGAAATAAAATTAATTAATTCACCAAACCTTTGCAGGGTATAAAAGTATTAAATTAAACACATATCCACAAACAAATCAATGCATCCTCATACAGAATTCCTACTTTGTGATAAGCCAAACAGAGGTGTGTTTGTTTCTAGCTTAATATGCTACAAACAGCTGTCTAAATGTAGCTTATTCAGGAAGTTATATTTAAGATACATTCATGGCCATATGCTAGGGGTCCCTAATCCCCAGTCCATGGACTGGTACTGTGCCAGGGCATGCCAGCAACCGGTCCGCACAAACAAGCAAAGCTCCATCCATGGGATGCAGGCAGCACACAAAACCACACACTCTCCGGTCTGTTGAAAAACCTTTCTCCATGGAACCGGTTCCTGGTGCCCAAAAAGTTGGGGACCTCTGCCATATGCAATCCAAGTAATAGTAGGATAATAGAACTTTCCAACTTTCCTTTTTGAAGCATATTGGAGGGTTCTGTTGCTCATTCTGGTATATAAGTATTCACCTATAGTGCTAAAGTTTGATATATAAGTATGCCTTCAGATCCAGCAGAGTTTAAATATAAAACAGGTTGACCTTCCCTTTTCCTTGTTCTAATCTTAGAAGATTGTTTTTTTTTTAAATTTAATTGTTCATTAAGTAGCTTCTTCCTGAGATTTAGAAATGTTGGCACAGATGCAAGCAAACAGATTTGGGGTGAGGAGGTGTTTTTTTCCAGCAATTAGCAATCAATGGAAGGTGGCCCAGACCTTATCAGAAGAGAGATGCCTGGATTTTTTAGCTTTTGTTGTTTGAATTTTGAAGAATTAATTTATGGCCACAATAATTAGGAAAAAGAGTGATTTTCTATTGAATTTTGGCAGCAAAATCTTGGGAGATTCATGGGGCATAAAATAACCCCCCCCAAATTATAAACACTGTAATATGTATATGGTAGGTGTACCAAAATTCAAAGGTCAGATTATTCACTTCTGGTTCTTTTTTTCTCTCTCCTCTTTTGAATGGTGACTGTTTCAAGACTGGCTGAAAACTGTTCTATTTTACTAAAAGCCTGCATTTATCTTCAGTGGCAAGAGTATGTTTTTAATTCTACTCTTCTTTCACTGTTTAGCTGGGTCCCATCTGCTTGCTTGTGATTGGAATCATCGCAGTACATTGCATGGACATCCTCGTTAAATGCGCTCACCACCTGTGCCAGAAGTAAGAGGGAATTATGACAACTGCTATCCCTGGAAGAAAATGGTGGTGGTTATAAAACAGCTGAAATAACAGAGACAAACTAGTTCTTTTGATAAAGAAAGCAAAATATAGATCAGGGAATAAGGATTAGCTTGTGCTGAAGGCACAGAATCATTTAGTCATGTGAGGGAAGATTATACAATCCTGTTATGCTTCATTAGCTGCTGGGACAGCTTCAGATTGCACACTGTGTTTTCTCAAATGCTACTAAAATGAATAAGCAAAAAATGATGCTTGAGCTACCCATTTAGAAGATGTACAATGCATCTGTTTTCAGAGCTATCTCCATCCCTGAGCAAGCATAGAGGTTCATTGGTAGATGGCATGCAGAAATAAGGCAGATTTCTATTAACAAAACCTAGTGAAATTTAGAAAGCCAAACTGGGTAATTTTACTTATGGAGATGGGCCCTTAGTCCTTGTCTCCCCCCTTTTGGGGGTTGGGTTGGGTCTTTAAACGATAATTGAACTGCCTAACAAGTCTCATGTTTTTTATGGTGCTCTTCTTTTCTCCTGAAGCCTCCTATGACACTAGAATTACAATGACTCATTTTGGAGAACCTGTAATTAATTAAAGCTCAGTTGACCTTGATATTGAAACACTACTATCATTCTGTTGGATTATATTGTATCTAGATTATGAATCACCTACCTGTAGACCTTATGTCACCTGCAACCTTAACATGTGCTGCTCCCGAACCCTGCCCAAGTTTTCCTGGTGATCATTGAAACTACCAGAGTGCTGGTTTCCCGCTGCTTTCAATAGCTAGAAAGCAGCAGTCTCGTCGTTATGAGCTCTTCATCAGATTGATCAGCAGGCTTAAGTAAACATGTGCTTCCAGTTTTTCTGTAGGATAGTTGAAAAATAGACTAGATTGCTAATGGCAACAGTATTCCATATTGGTTTTTGAGAAGGAAGGAGGAAATCTTAATTACTTCTTCCTTCTTCCTAGTGACCCAGTTCAGGAGTCTTGATTTCCTATTGCTGCTGGTATTAGCAGTCATCAGAGAAAGGGTAGGCTAAACATCTAGAGCGGGGTGTCAAACTACCGGCCTGTGGGCCGGTTGCATCATGAGGAGGCCGGGCCCACCCGAGCTCTGGCAAATGAGAAAAAAATTACAGTACGTCGCAACATGTCACGTGACATGGCAAATATGACACCCATGATCTAGAGCAGGGCTTTTCAACCTTTTCACCCATTATACTAATTTTAGGATATGGCAACATCCGAGTACCGAGTACCACCAGTCGCCTAGCAAGGTATCAAAAACTTGATGACCCCTCCCCAAAAAGGAAAAACTGATGAAGTACAGGTAGTCCTCGACTTACAACAGTTCGCTTAGTGACTGTTCGAAGTTACAATGGCACTCTTCCTCCTGTCTGAGGTTTCCATTGTTGTGAGCATTTCTGTTGAGGATTGGCAGTGGGGGTGGGGTGGAGGGTGTTTGGTTTTTATTCTCCCCTGTTTGCTGGGTGGTTGCAGCAGGTTTTGGTCACTTCACATGACCCTGGGACACTGTGACCATCATAAATATGAATCAGTTGCCAAGCATCTGAATGTAAATCACAAGACCCTGGAGATGCTGCAACATTCCAGCTGATTGGTGCTTCTTCTGGGCTCAGCAGAAGTGCCAGGATCAGCGCTGAGCTCCAGCTGGAGCCTGGTGCTGATCCTGGCGCTTCCACTGAGCCCTGACAGCCCCAAAGCACTGATCCTGGCACTTCTGCTGAACCCTGACAGCCCTGCAGCTCCAGCCATCTCTCACTCAGGCTTGTGCGGTCCTGCCACTGTTTAGTTCATTCCCCACCCCACTACCACTTTTCTAGGATGGTCGCATACCACCTGCCAGGTGCCAATGTACCACAGGTGTTACCAGTACCACTGGTTGAAAAGCTTTGATCTAGAGCAATGCAACAATGCCCAAAATAGCTGTTTTGTTAGCCAGAGAAGCTACTACCAGATTCCTGATTTTTTGCATCTTTCTTCCTACAAGTTTGCCTTTGCTCTGTTTATGTAGTATTGGAGATTCTAATATGTGCAGAAATTTCTACTTTTCTATGTGGATGAAAACTTGCTGTACTTGTTTTCCTCTGTGCATGAGAGATTTTATTGTCACATGGAAAAGATCATTGGTCCAGCACAGAAGCAGGCAACATTTTTGAAGTTTCAAGATACTGTTTAAGATGTGTAAATATACCTATTCGGTCTTCTAAAAATTAAACTCCACACAACATGCATGAGAATATTACAAAAAGAAAATCTGAATTATAGCCACTGCTGTTAAGCATGCATAATTGAAATTTTTCTCTGGGTTTGCTTTTTTTGCCATCATTTTCTTTTGCCTTGTTGCATTGTTGTATTTCTTATTTTGTTCTTTGTTTTTTAATGTTTTAACAATTGTAAACAACCTAGATTCAGGGTTTACAATTATAGATCTTATAGGGCAGCATATAACTTAATATATTATTATTATATATTATTTTTGTTGGTTCTGCACTGTACTGTTTCTTCTTTGTCAAGTATCAACTGGTTCATTGCAGTCCCAATATTGACAATTGGTAGAAAAATTTCTGATTTCACTGAAATTGGAGATTCTGCTTACGGCATACAATTTGAGCTCGGTATCTGCTGATTTTCTTGGCTATAGCGGTTGTTGCTTTATTATTTCCAAGGTATTCAGTTACAGTTGTATCCATGCTGTACATTAGTTGATTTGTTTCTTGCAGTAGGCTGGTGCTTATATTTGGTGTTATTGCAACCTTTCAGTTCTTGTGCTGTTTCTTTGGAACAAGCTTCAGTACAGACAACTTTGTTCTGTGGTTTTTGTGCTGTTCTAGATGCTTAGTTATTCTTTGTTTCAATTTTTCTTGTTTTTTTTTTTTAAATTACAGGGCTTTGTTCTTTCTGAGGAGAAGGCAAAGGAGAGGATGGTTTGGGAATAAAAATAATTTGATAGCTATGCTGGCTTTCTTTACTCTGGCTCCCTCTGGTTTGCCTATATAGACTGAGCTACTTCTAACAAGGCTTTGATTTCTTTACCCTGAGTAGACCTTTGTAGTTCTTCCAAAGCTTCTCTGAATATATTATTTTGTATTATAAATTGACATTGATCTGCTGGCCTGCTTCGGTTACTTCTGTTTCTGGATACTGTTCTTACATTCTTTTCAAATATTCTTTTCTTGATGAATTTGATTTGTAAGAAAAGATAATGTCTGCATGTATCTGCATGATGGGTAAACAAGTTTTGTTCTAGTAGTCTTGCAGCTGCTGGCCCTGGTTGCTCAGCCAACAGTCCTGAGTCTTGTAGTCCATTTGTTACCAAATGTCCATGAAGTCCAACACCTAGGGTGGTCCTTGTGACCTTGTTGATGAATGATCTGGTATGATTTGTCTAAATTATGTCTCACCATATTATTTATTGGAGACACACATTTTGTCTGGCTCATCTGATGACACCTGTCCAGTATGACTGAATCTGTTGTCATAAGTCTTGTCTTCCTCACAAGCCCCACAACCATGTCAAGATAGTGCCTCACTGAGAAAAATTATTATGGTTGGTTGTATAATCAGTCAGATATTTAGACTGGATTTGTTATTTTTATCCACCTGTTGAGTCTTTCCCTAGGACCTGGGATAGGGAGATGTTGATTGATGGTGTTAAAAGTATTGTTGCAAGAAACAAGTTGTTCCAAGTAAAATTGACGTTTGAAATGATGGGGATTTTGTCAATGTTAATGGTGTTCAAGTAGTGTTCCAGAAGTTTTGGGATTCCATCAAAGATGCCTATTATTACTGGCACTATCTTTGTTTGCTTTTGCCAGTTATTCTACTTCTATTTCCAGGTCTTTATATTTTGTAATTATTAAAATATATATTTTATAATGTGCAATGAAATATATAAAAACATAAATATAACACAATTTATATTAATATATAAATATACAACACATAATTATTAATAAAGAAATACATTTTAATAAAACTGGTGTGATTTGTCAGCCAGATTTTTAGATTGGATTTGGCATCAGGTCCTTCCCAGAGACCTATAGTTATCAAACTGAGCTGCTGTGATAGAATTAGATATGTATAAAGTAGTTTTTGACTGGTAAATAACCATAATTTTAAGCAAACAGCTTTCATAGATTTATATATTCCTAAATCAGTGCTGCTGTGTTCTTAGATTTCCACTAGCAAGATAGATTGCAAAAGTTTGTTTTTCTCAACAGATGCCTTTTCAGAAAGCAGATTAATCACTTACAACTCTAAATATCTCTGTTGTTTTTCTTTTCTGTTTTTCAAATAGGCATCACAAACCATTTCTGGACTATGGGGATGCTGTCATGCATGGGCTAGAGGCTGGTCCCTTTTCATGGCTCAGAACTCATTCTATCTGGGGAAGGTACTTATCTTAATTATAGCTGTTTAGTATCATCTATAGTGATCAGTTTAAATTGTCCCTTAAAATGGAGGTAAATTTTTTTGCTATGCGGGTTGTGAATTTTATGAGTGGCATTTGCGGTGCATAGGAAGTACTCAGATCAGGGAAGATTGATTTGGGTCTTTCAAACCAGACAAGACTTTTTTAGGTCAGGTTACTGCCTCCATTAAGGAAGTTGGGATCACTCTCTATTAAATATTATATTTTATTAAACTGAAACAATTGTTATTTTCCTTGCCAAATATAACTAACTATGAAGGTCCCAGCTGGGTGAATATGCAAGGGTAAATATACAATTGACTAAACCATACCGAGCACCTTGTTTGCAGAATTGAGATCTTGCAAATTAAAGATAATAGTGTAGCATCAGACATATTCAAGAGCCGACTTGAATTCAAGTAGTAATAAAATAATCACATTTTCATTTAAAATGTTTTATGGAATTTAACTACTGAGAAATTCATTACATCACAATTTTGGCAAGGTTTTTGAGAGTAGGTCTTAGCTACTTAGAAACCTCAACTTCATTGAGAAAAATAATACTATGGTGGTGAAAAATTTACAATTGTAATCCTCACATAACAGGAGTTTTATTTTATTTGATTTATTCTGTCTCTGGTTGCATTATAAGATGTCATTTTGTGAATTTTCATTAAAACTTGAGTACTACATTTTTAATTGGCCTTGTATTTAGCAGTATTTCAGAAGAATGAATTGATACATCAGGAAAGTTAAATATTTACAACTGTTAATCTTGCATACTTACAGTATGTCTTGTTTTTTAGGTACTTAGTGAGTTTTTTCTTAATTCTTACTCAGCTGGGATTCTGTTGTGTATATTTTGTATTCCTTGCTGACAATTTCAGACAGGTAAGAATCAAAATAATGAAATGTGTTATAATATCCAAAGCAAATATATTAAAAATTCAGGATCGTAAACACTGTTCTAACTTTACTTTTTTATGTAGCTGCTTTCATGCTCTTTCATGTAGCTCTTTCATGTATATGGCAGGAGACTCATGGCTGAGTCTCTGGTTATCACAAATATATGTATCCAGCTGCAATTAGAAAGACTCTGAACTAAGATATTTCCCAGAAACAAAACAAACCCTCCTATGCTTGGACCAAAATGAAATGAGAGCATGTATGGTGCAGTATTAGATTAGGACTAGAGATTAGGACTAGGAAGATTTAAATTCAAGTGTATTGTCTGGTATAAAAGCATATTTTCTGCTAGTCTCCATCTCTCACATCAACCACGTTGTAAAATTGTTGTTCTGGGGAAAACAGAACAAAATTCTTTGTATGCTACTTCTCTTAGAAGAATGGCAAGATATGCATATAACCAATAAATTAGTTTGCAGAATATTTTCACTAAATTTAGAAAAGATGAGATGCAATTTTCTGAAATTTGGCACTTGTCATTTCTGATGTGCTTCCTGCATGTCTTGAGAAATCATAAAGAATTTGCTGGATTCAACTGTATTAATCTTTGAGGAAAGCAGAATACAAAGGTGTCATTGTTTTACCCAAGGCTGTGTTTTCTTCTGTGGGATCATTGCTTTCTGAATTTGAGAAAAATATTTTCATTTTTTTTGTCTGAGTTGCTGATGTTCTGTCAGCCATTTACATGATGAATCATGAGACACGAGTCAACAACTCAGTTCCATAATTGAATATATTATAATGAGTTGTATAACTTGGCAAGCACTTCTCATCCTGATCTTGATACCATAAGCTTAATATTTGCTAAATGGGGCCAGTGTCTCAGCAGATTTAATAATAAGCTTGCACTAAAGCTAAAGCCAAATAGAGTCATTTTGTTTGTTTAATTTTATGAAGTATTGACTGCTCTGATACATCCTTTTTTTTTTTTTTTTGTAGAGAGGGCAGTTGGTGTCCTCTTACGTGGGTGTTCAGAACCATCTGTTCCTTTTGAACTAATGTGTGGGTATGAAATCATGAGTGGTATCCTGTGAGAAATGGGAATCAAAGCTCAGTCTTTCTCAGCACCCTTGCAAATTAATGTGTGTATTATGGTGTGCTGCTTGATTGACCACACTGGAATTAGAATTTATTTTATTTGTTTATTAAATTCCTATACCACTCATTACACTTACGTGATCCTGAGTGGTTTAGAGAGGTTTTCTCCACCCTCTGAGCTCAAGTGTGTTGGACTAACTCTAGTAATCCTGTATCCTGTGTAATGAAGCCCTACACATCTAAGTAGCACCAGATTGGGGCAGTCTCGTGTTAACCTACTGCTGAGTACAGTTTATTATAATCACTATACAAATCCCGTGGAAGGTAGCTGGTTAATAAACAATTTATTTTTATCATTATATTTATTCAGGTTATATCTGCTGCCAACGGTACCACCAATGACTGCAGTGCCAATGAAACTGCTGTGAGGGCTCCAACAATGAGCTCTCAGTTATATATCCTGTCCTTCTTACCATTTGTGATATTGCTCGTCTTCATCCAGAATCTCAAGATTCTTTCCATTTTCTCCATGATGGCCAATATTTTGATGTTGAGCAGCCTGATAATGTTATACCAATACATTGTCCGGGTATGTATAAAACTGACTCTTTTCAGAATTTTCTTAGCATTTGGTGCTGCCATTTTGTTGGTTTTGCAGGTCCAAGGGCAGTATAATTCTGTGGTGAATGGAATATGCTACATATTTAATAAGGATGTCCGTGGTATTATGTGGAATAAATATTTTCAAAGACAGATATAGTGCCTTTGTGCTTTGTCATTTAAATATCAAACTAGGTTACAAAGGGAAAGGCATTATCACAGTACATCACGTGTGCTTTAAGTTTTATTTTAGTTGGACGGGGTGAAATATAATTATGACAAAAACTTTAGAAGAAAAGTTACCTGGAAAAACAATTTGAAAGGACAGAGGAGGGATCATCGAGTGGACAGAGTCGTACATTCAAATGAGTGAAGGACTTTGGGTCAGGAAGGGTTGAAGAAAATACTTCTGAGAGGTTATAAATGGCAGAATTGAAGAAGCAAATGTCATATGTGAAGAGATAGAGTGGGCCAAGCCCAGTCCATGAAACAATAATATGCTTGTTTTGAGGGTAGAATGAAAAATAACTCCACAAAGAGATTGATTCTCTCACATACGTGAGACAAGTTAATTATTTCTTACTGGTAGATTTTAGTATCTGAGGAACAGCATTTCATTTAATGAGGGAAGAGTCTAGAAAGAAAGGTTTTAGTAACTGATAGAAGACCACCTGAGCATTGTATTTTTTTGTTTTCAGTGATCTATGAGATTCATAGATAGTAATGTCTTTAAACCCAACACCTTTTTAAGGAGAAGTCAGGGAAACAATAGAAGTAGTTGAGTTTCCATCACTTCTACATATAGCAGAGGAAAACTGTTGCCTGAGAACTTGGATAGTAGCTACTAATCAGTGTAAAGCTACCATGTAAGAGATATTCTTTCAGTTTTGTCATCATTTTAATTTAATTGCCATCTCTGCAGCGGTTTATTTTATTTATTTTTATTTATATATTAAATTTATATGGTGCTCATTTCTCTACCAAATGACTCTGGGCAGTTTATAGTACTTTACCTACATTTTGTATTTTTCCTTAGCAGAGTATGTATTTCTAGATTTTTTTTAAAAAAAATGTTATAACCACATAATTGCCCAGAGGGTTTGGTAAATTCGGCAGAATACAAGCACAGTGAAGCAAGAAATTATCAAGTTTGGCTTGCAGTTCCACAAGGTGGTAGCCAGCAAGGCTTTTATGAGCTCTAGGAATGGTAATTCTAGCAAATAAGAAGGATATTAAGCTTGAAGAGGCTGGTGTAGAAAATCTGAGTGAGGAGGGTTCTGTTGGTTTGATTCAATATAAGAGAGTTTCCTCAATTGCAACTGCTTCCAATTGAAATACCTTCTACAGATCATCTGCTTTTCTTTTTTTTAGGACATTCCAAATCCTAGCCATCTGCCTATGGTAGCTGCCTGGAAGACAATGCCTCTCTTTTTTGGTACAGCCATCTTTGCCTTTGAAGGCATTGGAGTGGTAAGTCTTGCCTAGAAACCTAGCTTAAAACAGGGCTATCCAACGTTGGCAACTTTAAGACCAGTGGGCTTCAATTCCCAGAATTCCGCAGCCAGCAATTCTGGGAGCTAAAGTCCACAGGCCTTAAAGTTGCCAGGGTTGGACACTCATGGCTGGGAATCTTGTTTTGCTACGAACTGAAAAATAACTTAGGTCTAGTAGATTCTCAGGTGGCATTTAGCACATCTGTCTCTTTGCAGCCAGACATGTTTAGTCTTCAAGACTTTGAACCTATGACAAGACCTATGTTACCTATTTTAGTCTATATTTGAATGACAGTCTTTGTATGGCAGCATGTGACCAGTTTGCACCTGACCTGATAATGGCTCACAGCTGTTCTGGGACCAAACACTGTTTTATGTTGAGTTTTCTAACTTAAAACTCTAATTAAAATGCAACATAATGGTGTACATGAGTGATCTTATCTTATATAGCTCTAATCTTTTGAACATATCTAGTTGATCTATTGGAATAAACATGGAAATGTTTGATCCATTCTATTCCTTTTTCCTTCTCTCTGGTCTAGTCATGTTTATCTTTTATCTTTAATTTGTAGATCCAATTTTCCAGAGGGGTAATTATATTACTTGGATGATTGTTGCTATTATGAGACATTTTATTTGATTATGTCATGCATTCAAGAAATGAAAACAAGGGTAGAGTCCTATCAAATGCTTATTAGGCCTCAGCCTATGCACTGACTTCAATTATTTTGTACTCTTTTGTTTTCTTGTTTTGAGGATCATAAGGATAATTTCTGAGGATTCAGAGCAAGACTGAGAACAAATGCTTGTGAGTGCAAACTTGTCCGATGTGACTGAAGGGGACTGGAATATCTAATGAAGTATTAGGAGCTAAGCCAGTTCAATTTTCCTCACAATAAAAACTTTGTGAGGTCAATCAGGCTGAGAGCCAGTGATTGACTCAAACTTCCACAATTAGTTTTCACTGAAATTGAAGTCCCGATACTCACAAGATTCATTAAGAAGACCAAATGCTAAGCATGCCCTGGTCTGTTGTGAAAAGGTTAGGTTAATCAGGGGAGTAAAATGATATTCACTGAATATTTGGGGCTTTTTTTCTTCTCCAAGGTGCTCCCTCTAGAAAACAAAATGAAGAACCCTCAGCACTTTCACACTATTCTGTATGTGGGAATGGCAATTGTCACCTCGTTCTACCTCAGCTTGGGAACACTAGGATATTTGCGCTTTGGAGCTAACATCCAGCCCAGCATCACTCTCAATCTCCCCGACTGTTGGTGAGTTGAACTGGGAAGCTTTTGTTACCAGGCAGAGAGAAGGTCGAACTATAGGCTACTCCTGAATGAGCAAGAATGGAATTGCAGATGCTGAAAAGTAAAAACAATTTCCAAAGGTGCTTCCTTTGTAGGGAGGCTCTTAGAGTGTAGTCTCAGTCACTTTCTGTCTCATGTCTTCATTCTTTCTCATGGCCACCATCTCTTATATCAATACATGTTTCTCTGTGTTCCAAATTTTGCATACTTTGAACTGATTCAAGCATGTTTCAAATAGTGCATTTTGTACTAGGAAAAAGACCAGTACTGCCACAGAAACATTTGAGAATGCAGAGCAGCTGTCCCCTGTAATTGGGTTATCTCTTAGGTCAGAGGTGTCAAACTGCTGGTCCCTCGGGCTGGACGCATCTTCCTGAAGCCGTGCCCACCCCATTGCTAGCAATGGTAAAATTGTCCCAATATGTCTCGCAACGTTATGTGACATCGCGAGTTTGACATGTCTGTCTTAGGTTATCACATTCTCATTCATGATCCTGGGAACTTATATTAGCTGACTAAACATATTGCCCAGTGGTGGGATTCAAATATGTGAACAACCGGTTCTCTGTGTGGATGCTGCTTCCGTACCTCCATTCTGGGCCTGGGCAACAAAAAATTAGCTACTGGTTCTGCCGAAGTGGTGTGAACCGGCTGAATCCCACCACTGATATTGCCACATATAGGACATCATCACATTGGCTTAGAATACCTCCTTGGAAAATTTGTCACTGATGATAATAAAGTTGTCTAATCTTAACTCCCATAACTCATTCTCCCATTTCTAATTCTGATGGAAGCCATGAGAAATTCAGTCTCCCTTCTTCTACTCCAACCACCCCACCAGGTTCTCCAATTCATAAATTGTTGTATGGAGATGATTGAATCAATTTTTCATTTTTATCCATTTCTAATAGAAATTCTTAGTTTAATATGACATCGAAACTGACAGAACATATTTCCATGTCAAAATTTCAGTAAGGAGGTATGAGTTATATAGTGCGACAATATATAGAGCAGTGGTTCTCAACCTTTTTAATGCTGCGACCCCCAACCGGTCGTAAGTCGAGGACTACTCAACTGGTGCAGCACCGTTTGCAGAATGGGACTTTTGGCGGGCTCAGCAGGGCAGAGACAGCCTGGACAATTCCTATTGGCTTTCAAAAGCCAATAGAATAAAAGGGAGTAGCACAGCTAAGGAAAAGGGGGGGAAATGGCGGACTGCGTTGTTTGGCGAACCCCATGAAATGGTCGTTCGACCCCAAATGGGGTCCCGACCCACAGGTTGAGAACCATGGATATAGAGGATATCCAAGAAAAGCAATGTTGCAGAACTGTACTTGGGATAAAAAAGTGTATTTTAGGTTCCAGTTCTTTCTGTTTATGTATTGTGGTCACTAAAAATAAACAGAATTAATTCCATAGGAGAGAGAGCCTATATTCATGTGTTGATTTTTTATATTTTTTAAAAATATATGCTATATTATTTTCAAAACTCAAATTTACAATAATTTTGATAATTCCTTTATTAAACTCAGTCCCATCAATTCTAGCACTATATCTTCTAACAACATTTAGTTAGCACTGCCCTCTAATTTTATAATAGTGATGCAATCAGCTATCAGCTGTATCTGTCTCATGACGGCAAATAAGGAGCTTGATTTCTGATGACATCAGAAATTTCTCACTATTTGAAAAAAGAAGGCTTTGAAATAAAACTTGTTGCATCGTTGCGTGAGTGCTCAGTTTTAAACAGGAATCCATGCCTTTAAAAACTCATGAAGTCATAAGTAATTTTGAACAAGTACTTTAGCAGTTGTCATATCAGGGACAGGCAATTTATCAAGGGATATTCCTTTGACTTGTTGCTTTGCTATAAGGCTATTGGACCTGGTCTTGAGGCTTTCTGCAATATCCAAAACCCTGGTTCAGGAATAACACTTTCTTTCCTCAAGGGAGAGTGACTTACGTTTAGCTCCTTACTCATGAGCCAAATTTCCCTTGTGGTCTCTGGATTAGGGTGCACAAACATTTTCAAATGGTGCAGTCAGTGCACTGACTTCAATTTTTTATTTGGTTTTTCACCAGGAAGCTGAGTGGATTTAATGGTTGCCTCTTGCCTCATTTTTGCAGGTTGTACCAGTCTGTCAAGCTGCTCTACTCCCTCGGAATCTTCTTCACTTACGCTCTGCAGTTCTATGTCCCTGCAGAAATAATAATTCCTGTGGCTGTTTCCAAGATCCCTGAACGCTGGAGATTATGTTGCAAACTGCTGCTGAGAGTATTCCTGGTCTGCGTAACATGTGAGTGGTGAGAGTTTTCTTTTCACTTGGCAGGTAGAGATTCAGCCCAAGGGATGCTTCATTGTGGTAAAGATATTGGTAAGAAAATTACTGGGCTCTATAGAAAATAAAAATGGAGGCTGAGTTCAGGCAGTGCTTTTGTTTGGTGAAAAAATACACCCTCTACACCAGAGGTTGGGAACCATGGCCTCTTTATGACTTATGGACTTCAGCTCCCAGAATTCCTGTGTCAGGATGGCTGGCGCAGGAATTCTGGGAGTTGAAGTCCACAAGGCATAAAAGGGCCATCATTCCCCACCCCTGCCCTACACCTACATCAAAAGGATAAAAGTGAGCTGCAAGATTGATCTGCAGTGTCTTAGTTGCCCCCCCCCCCCAAAAAAGGTAGATATGTGAAAAATTCTCTTAGGTTGCTGCGGTGATGTGACTTGTCCAATATGGTGGCCATCTCATGAATAGAGGGTCACCCCACATGACACTCAGGTGATGGGTCTCAGAATTCCAAAGGCGTTCATTGCCTCAAAACATCTGAGGATGCCTGACTAATGCAATAGCTTTGTACAGATATTTGGAATAAATAATATTGTTGCTAGATTCGAGAATTCATTCTGAGCTGTTTACAAGTCCCACCTCTGAGCTTGAAGAGTGTATATACTGATGGCACATTTTGTCATGATTCAGTGCCGTCTGTTTAATTTCATGTCCCCTTCTGTTTTGCCAGAAGAGTTTATTATAGACTAAAAATTTACTCCGAAATTAAAACGATGTTTATTTCATTTGAAGCTGTAGTAAAGAAAGGGCAGCTACCTCAGCTGCTTGCTCTTCAGCAGGCATCTTCCCTGACAAAACCTTTATTTCCTCCTTTCCTATCCCTCAGGTACCCTTGCAATACTGATTCCTCGCTTGGACATTGTCATAGCTCTGGTAGGTTCAGTGAGCAGCAGTGCTCTAGCACTTATTATCCCGCCCATCTTGGAGATCTTCACCTATTATTCGGAAGGCCTGCACCCGCTCATCCTGGCCAAAGACATTCTCATCAGCCTCTTCGGTATTACTGGCTTTGTTGTGGGGACATATGAATCTCTCTATGAACTGATTGTACCAACTGTGTCCAATGCTACCACTGCTTTACCATGACACTGTAACCTGTTTCACTTTGAGAAGTTATCTGCAGTTCGGATGGATCTTGAGTTTCTTCATAGCAACTGCAGAAACCTGGGACTCCTCCTTGCTTTCCAAATCTATTTATTTTATAGGTTAAACAGATACGGCTATGGTTAAAAAGAAGGGGCTCTTATTTATTTATGCTTCTTTTTTTGTATGGGATTGATTTAGGAGATGTCATAAAAAACAAAAAAGGTGCTCAGTTATGATTATCCTTACCTGAAAGAAATTGAATGTCTTGCAAGCATCTTGGATTTTACTAGATATCTAGATCAAGAGCAGTGAATATGGGGAGAATTAAGAATCCTAATATTCCTCACCAGATCATTTTTATGAAGTCTTTTGAGCATCATGTTACCAGTTCATTTTTATTTTCATTGTTCTTGTTTTAAACTACTTCAGGCTACCAACTTAGAAACTATTACCATATTTTCCGGTGTATAAGATGACTCGGCATATAAGACGACCCCCGGCTTCAGGGAAGATTTGCATGGTTAGAAAGTCGTCTTATACGCTGTAAAATACCGTATTTTCCGGTGTATAAGACGACCCCCGTATACCGTATTATACGGCATATAAGACGACCCCCGTATACCGTATTTTCCGGTGTATAAGACGACTTTCTAAACCACGCAAATCTTCTCCGAAGTCGGGGGTCGTCTTATACGCCGAGCCGTCTTATACGCCGGAAAATACGGTATGTCTCATTTCTAAAATAAATTCCTATTTTTAGATAGTTGCATGAAAAGCGAGAAAATAGCTTGAAAATGATAGCTAACACAGAAGAGGGAAGCGCAAATGAAACTCAGTTTGTAATATTAAAAACAGCTGCAGTAAATTAATGCTCCTATTTCATGAAGTTTTGTGTCTATTGGTGGTAATACTGAAAACTAAAAATAGTATCAAGCTGCCTAATCTATAATTCTCAGGCAACACCAATTGGACTGCATATAAAAAGGGAAATGAGGTTTATATTGCCAAATCCAGCACTGCTACTCTGACTCTATAGCAGGGTTCATATCAAAATTCTATGGGAAAAAAGATACATGTATGAGCTGGATAGGGGATTGAAAAGTGTTTTTAAAGTTTTTTTTTTATAGTTGTGGAAACAATAGGATATTGTAAACCAATTATCTATTGTAACCTTTTGCTTTGTTGTAGCTTCAAGGTACATTCACTAAGCATACTTTTGAAAAAATTGGAAAAGCTATGCCCTGAATGTCATGATTATAGTCCAATTTCATGTAAACAATAATTTCACATGAGTATATGTATATACATTATAAAAAAACATAAGGTGAGTCAGATGCATAGTTGTAACTTCTGAATTATTTTGCTTCTGGATTATGGAAACACTTTGAGAACTACTTAACAATTGTAGCCAATTAGCATATGTACATAGGTTAAATTCATGGGCCCAACTTTCACGGTTTTCTTATTTCACATATAAGAGGCCTTGAAAAGCTAGCCAATCAAAATAGACAAATTGATTGAGTAGGCACATGGAGATTCTTATATTAAAAGTGCAATACACATCCAATTTTCTATTATTTGCCTTTGTTCTCAGGAACACTGTTCTCAGGAACAGTGTTGAAATTGAATAGTTTACACTAAGGATATTTTAAAAAAAAAATTCTTCCTAAGATTTTAGCTGCTTCATAGCATTATTAGGTATTTGATACTACCATTTTTGTTTTCTAAAACAATCATACATGTGGCTTGAATTGTGGTTTCTTCTGTGTTTATCTAATTAGCCAAGGGATCTGAATTTGACGTGTAGACCTTAAATTATAATTAAAATGCAATTTACCAGGAAGCAATTTGTGCTCCCTGAATTCAGTAGGACTTATTTCTGTTGGGTTATGACTTAAAAAAAGGAAGATGGGATGCATATCATTGATCTCTTCCAGTAATTGTGATTAGGTTATATCTTTAACTTTTTTCATGAATAGCCACACAGGATGAAGAAGGGAACGCGGAATTATCACTCTTTAGATATGACACTCAAATACTTATTTAACACTTTAAATAGATATTGAAATGTAGAATTTATGAATTATTTTGGAAAGGTTTTGTAGTCTGGTTTTAAATACCATTGTAATGAATTATCTACTTTTTATGCATTGCTTTATGGTTGAGTTAGCTTCCTATCCCCTTTCTCATTCTTCTGAAGTTATAGATGTCTCATTAACTCTGGGATATACTTGGGGTTTATATTTCTATCCCTATATAGTAAAGCATGTGAGAAAATAGACAAATATTAAATATTCTGGTCTTGGCAACATAACGGTGAAATATAAATTAAAACTGCTTTAAATTTGCCTGTGAACCCAGGACATAAGACATGAACAGAGCCCTGCAGATTAATGGTATTGGAAGTTTTTACCATGATTAACTAGAACCTTTGCCAGGTAGCCAGAGTAGTCAAGATGAAATAAAATTTAAAAATAGAATAGTTGGAAGGGACCTTGGAGGTAATAATAATAATAATAGTAGTAAAGTTGGAAGGGATCTTGGAGATCATCTAGTCCAACCCCTGCTCAAGCAGGAAACCCTACACCATTTCGGACAAATGGCTGTCCAGTCTCTTCTTAAAAACTTCCAGTGTTGGAGCATTTACTGCTTCTGGAGGCAGGCTGTTCCACTGCTTAATTGTTCTCACTGTCAGGAAGTTTCTCCTTAGTTCTAGGTTGCTTCTCTCCTTGATTAGTTTCCACCCGTTGCTTCTTGTCCTCCCTTCAGGTGCTTTGGAAAATAGCTTGATTCCTCTTCTTTATGGCAGCCCCTGAGATATTGGAATACTGCTATCATGTCCCCCCTTGTCCTTCTCTTCGTTAAACTAGACATACCCAATTCTAGCAACTGTTCCTTATATGTTTTAGCCTCCGGTCCCGTAATCATCTTTGTTGCTCTTCTCTGTACTCTTTCTAGAGTCTTTTAGTCCAACCCCCTACTTAGGCAGGAAACCCTATACCATTTCAGACAAATGGTTGTCTGGTCTCTTCTTAAAAACCTCTAGTGTTGGAGCATTCACAACTTCTGGAGGCAAGTTGTTCCACTGATTAATTGTTCTGTCAGGAAATTTCTTCTTAGTTCTAGGTTGCTTCTCTCTTGAGTAGCAATGACACATTTCTAACTTTAAAAAAAATAAACTGATATTTTGACTTCGTAATTATTACAAACAGTAGAATTGATAAGGTTATGCCTGTGCATTCTTGCAGTTGTAGCATCTTGAACTATTATAAGTGATTATGTGCACATTACTGAAACAAGCAGAATGGATGCAGAAAGTAGAGAAACAAGGGAACTTAATGAAGTCGCAAAGAAGCATTATTGAATTTGATACTGGCTTTTTAACTTTGGGATTACCCCACTTTTCAATAGCAAGTGCCATTAAGACCAATTTGGTAGATGTTAAGTATAACCTCCATAGAAAATGCAGGATTTTAACATTTACTGATTTGTAGATTTTCCATTATTTGAAAAGTTGATCCTCCCATAATATTGCATTGGTAGCATTCTGCTAGTCTCTGCGTGTCCAAGGTTGGCTATTAGTTATATTCATCACAGCCACTGAATGAAATGAATTTGTTCACTTATATCGCAATAGATGCCTTAATATGTCTGTAATTTATGGTTCTATAAAATTTTGTATTCTGATGGAACACAATGTGAAGCATTCTTCTCTGTGGGAATAGTATTTCTTCTTGACTTCTAGAGAATGAACACTTTTTCCAGTTTAATGAAAAAAGTCTACATCAGACATTACCACTAATTATAATCTATATCCTTGGCATTGTGGTTGGTGGCCTTGTCTGGTTATATATGATAAAATTCCCTTCATACAATTATCTTTTACGGTTTCTTTTTCTTCCCCTTTAGAATAAATTGTGGCATATTTGTATTTTCTTGCACAGCCCAGAAAGAGGCAGTTGTGAATTACTGAATTGTCTATACACCTGCTTCCAGTAGTACTCACAGAAGGATAAAGCTACAGCATTTGTTCTGTATAATTACATCTTAAGAGTTTTTTGATCTGTTGTCTAGTTGTGTCTGTAATGTAGTTGTCCTCCATCCTGGTCCTCTTCAGATCTCATACTGAGTCGGTAACTATGGGATTTGAAGTAAACATTCCTGATGTCTCCCTCCATAAGTTATCTCTGTCATCTGGTCTGCTCTGTCTCTGATAATGGATAAAAGGGTATTTCAGTGTCAATCAGGTCTGTTTACTTTAGTTTTATTTATTTGTAAAAGAAGTGACTGCACTTGTGAAATTAGATATGTGCAAAATCCAAACACACCTTTGGTATTCCCCAAACGTTTAATACTATCGAAGTCCCCAAAACTGACTTCCAAAGGGGACCACATGGAAGGTATTGAGATCAATGCATACATCTAAGAAATTGGAAAACTACATATTTGGAGACTAGATGAAAGCCCCAACTAATGTTTGTACAGAGCTTTGGGAACAGTTTCCAATTCCTTAACGTTACTCTTAATTTACCACTTTGGACCTTTGCCTTCAATTGGATATACTGTTGCTCCTTTTAGGGTAGCTTGGTGACACATATTTAAACATGGTGCAGAATTAAGCAAACATATTTTGGGTAACCTAAATTTTAGAAATGCATACAATTATTCTCAAATGTTTCCACAAGGAGTGATTTTGAAGATAGAAAACTATGTCTGTTTGTATGTCTATCGAAGCAGTCAATGTTTATTTATTTGTGCCTACATGTGTGTACAGCAAGCCACTATGTACATTGGGTGTACTTTATAGGAGATACAGATGATGTTATGTATGATAATGCTGTAACTGAAGGATATACTTTAGTGGATGTTTCATTCAATAAATTCAGTTTTTTTACTCTATTATAAGGTTCCACACTGACTTTGATTTTTTTCATATTGCTTATAATTTATAATACTTAATGAAGCTGAATAAATAAAGTAATAACAAATATGCCCTGGCTATTCCTCAACATGGTATCAGAACTAAAAACTACACAAAATCAAGGCAGCTGTTCTTGTTAACTGTTCACAATTTAAATAAACTTACAAACCTTTGACAAGACACACACTGACAGAGTTGCAGTACAAAGTATCCCTGCTTGGCTTATAAGAATATTTCAGGCAAATGTGTGCTCCAGTTCTTTAGACAGTGAAAACTCAGGATGGTGTAGTGGTTGCTGGAGCAGGACTGGAGAAACCAAAGTTCAAATCCACATTCAGTCCTGGAAGCTCTGTCCAGCTTACATTCAGGATGGTGTTTTGGGATGAAATAGGTTATAAAGTATGCTTACATGTAACTCTGAGCAAGCATAGAAATTGAGGAGGTCTGGTGGCACAGTGGTTAAAGTGCAGTATTGCAGGCAAATTCTGCCCACAGCCTGGAGTTTGGTCTTGACGGGGCTCAAGGTTGATTCAGCCTTCCATTTTTCCAAGGTCAGTAAAATGAAGAGCCAGTTTGTGGGGACAATATACAGTATTGACATTTTTAAACTACCCAACTATGAACTATATATATAAGTCAATGTTATTGCTC